TACATACATATGTAACGAACTTTCACGGAACTTGTTCGAAATAAAAGCCCAGTTATGGCTACGGCGTTATGGTATGGCACCAATAGTCGTTTACAAATGTGCTTATATTTACGTTTAATTAGAACATATACATAATTGCTACGGTTTTGGTTAAGACTATGGTATGGCACCACTAATTGGACCTTAAAAGTCGAAGAGACTCAGCGCAATCTCGCCATTTGTAATAAACTAGATGGCAGGAAAGAAGTCAAGTCGATAGTCGGCAGCAGGAGGGAGTCGAAAAATACGTATATGCTCGGATATACTCCCATGGGCACCGAGAGCCCCGGCCTTGGTCTTGAGATACCTGCACCAATGTCTTAAGGGATTTTGGAGACGTTTCTATACCATTGCAGCGAGCTAGCCTGTAAATGTCCTTCCACAAAAAAGTACTTAAAGTTGCCTCACTGCAAAACCACACCTTGCACTTACTACCGAAGACTATTGGTTTGGGAAACAAAGCTAATGGAATCTGGGAGCCCATGATTCAATAATACAAGGTTAGATAATTATTGACAGCTGCGGTTTGACACTCCCTTACAAAAGGTTGCATTTACGAAGGACAGAGAAAGGGCAAGAATGCAATCCCTTGTTGCGAAAATGGTAGTAGAAAAGTACTAAAAGTAGGCAATTAATAGTGAAATTCCTTTCGTAAATTCTAATGTATTTGCAGGAAATCTGGAATTTTAAACGAAATGTTGAACGTAATATTGATATATCTACGTGAATTACGTAATTTATATGCTATTTAGCCGTATAAAAACTGCGAAATGCCTCAAAAATAAAATAAGACTACTATGAGATTGATGTAAACATCCAATGCTTACGTTTTCATCAGTTAAATATGCTTCATATGCATATACAAATAAACATATTGCACAAAAGCTTATACTTTTATTTCACACCAAAGCTACACTGTTTCCATGTAAATTTGCAAAGAAGCAACACGGTGCCACTGCTAAGGGAGCGGTGCGAGAGAGACAACTGTCAGTTTATCGAACCTTGTATTATTGAATCATGCTGGGAGCCTAGCGTGTCCTTGTTCCTCAATAAAAAGATTTTGCCTCTGCCAAAGCCTTCTCGTGTGAAGTCTAGAAGAATACGCTGTGCTGCCTGTGCTAGGCATTGTCCCGCCAGACGTTGAAGCTTGACAAGAGATGGCCTTACCGTGGATATGGTGGTCCGCGAGACCAAAGCCACCGCCCCATATGTAACTATTATGGTATACATCCATCTCAAGATCCTGGGACTGTAGCCCCAGGTCTTACCTGTCGACGTTTACGGCGACCCCGTTCAAAGTAATGTTCCTCATAATTGGAAGTGTTCTTTTGCTAGAAATTGAGACCATAGCTGTTTTGGAAGGGTTGTAGTTCAAATCCATTAAATAAATAAATACATGAATAAACAACTAAGCTTCACATGAGGGGTGGAAAACACTCTTGTTGTTTGTAGCTGTACCACACTGTCCCCGATGTGGGTCTACGGATATTGCGTTTCTCAAGTGCCCGCTAAACACCAATATGAGAGATATTATCAAAAGCTCCATCAATATCGTTGAAGGCACAAAATTGTTTCATCAGACTCGAAGGAGCCTTGTATTTCTGTAGACAGGGTGCGGTATCCGTGGACCTACCCACTCTGTAGGCGTGTTGGCCTGGGTGCAGAGGCGTTATGCGTGTTGTTTTTTCTGATTTCATGGTCGATAGTTTTCTCCATTGCCTTTAGCATGAAGGAGGTTCGATTTATCGGTCTGAAGGACTTAGCGAGAGAGTAGTCTCGCTTTCCTAATTTCGGGATAAAAATAACCCGAGCCCTTTGCCAAACCTCGGGGAAGTGGGCAAGTGCTAGACTAGCCCGCATAATGTGGAGGAGGTGAGGAAGCTCCTGCTCTGTCTTTATCTATTTAGGGGACGTCAAAGAATAATGCCCAGTTTAAATTTAACAAAGTTTTCCTGTTTCTCAACGTAACTTTTTTAAATATATTTAAAGTATATATAAAAGCTTTGTGTGCCTTCGTTCCAAATAGAAGTAAGTAAAAATTGCGATAAAAGTTGTTTTAAAACCGTGTATATTTAATGCATCTTTTATTGTGCAGTTGCAATTAAAAATTTGTGAATTCTGCGGCTCGGCGTTCGGCCATTTTTATTAAAATTGCATTTTGCATTCAGCGTGGAAAATCAGCTTTGTGTGCCTTTGTTCCAAACTTACAAGTAAGTAAAAATAGCGATAAAAATTGTTATAAAACTATAGGGGTATTCTCTGAGTCTTGCAAAGCCCTTGCACGGTGCACGGATTGCACGGTTTGCAAAGCTGTCCCATACGAAAACCGGTTTTAACCATGCAATCCGTGCAATCTGTGCACCATGCAAGGGCTTTGCAAGACTCGGAGAATACCCCTTATGTATATTTATTGTGTCTTTTATTGTGCAGGTCCAGTCCAGTTTTTGTGTGCAGCATTTTCGTTCGGTGGTGGAAAATCGTTTTGCGAAGCTTAATATTTGCAAGTAAGTACTGTATTTTACAAATAAAAATGAAGAGGCGTACTTTTTATAATAATTTGTGTGCTGAAAAGAAAAGTTGTGAGAGAAGTGCAGAAAAATATAAAAGGCTGCCCCAATTTGCCGATTCGGATTGGGGCTAGTGCAGTGCCACTGCGAATGCGCAAAATACTAGCGCGGATATTTCATTTTCTGACTCCGATTGCCGGTCGGAAAATGAAATAGAAATTATACCAACAGAAGAAAAGTGTAAGGAAATAAAATTGTGGGCAATTGAAAATAATATTTTACAGGCGGCACTGACCAAATTGCTTTGTGTACTTAAAAAAAATTGGTGTTAATGATCTTCCCTTGTGTGCGAAAACTCTTCTCCAAACTAATAAAAATAAAGCACATATTCAGTCAATTGCTGGAGGAGAGTTTATGTATATTGGCATACAAAAGAACTTTGCGTCCGATTCGTTTACGTTTTTAAATGAAAAAAACTGAAGTTTTAATAGACTTCGGAATAGATGGTTTAAAATTGTTTAAGAGTTCCAACAAAGTTTTGTGGCCAATTTTGTGTTCAATTGTTGGACTTCCAAACGAAAATCCTTTCACTATTGCCTGCTTCTCAGGAAAACAAAAGCCAGATAACGTAAATCATTTTATGAAAGAATTTTGTGAAGAAGTAGCTTATTTGAGAGAAAATGGCTTGAAAGTTGGTATGTTTAACACCACATTAGAAAAATTTAGTATCCGTATTTTTACATGCGATTCGCCGGCGCGTGCTTTTATAACTAGTGTTCAAGGTCACAATGGGAAAAAATGGCTGCCCTAAATGCAGTCAAATCGGCAGCTATGTAAATAAGAGTGTGTTTTTCTAGACACACAAGTGACCTAAGAACAGACATGTCTTTTAAAAATAGAGTAGATAAATCTCACCGTAATTTTAAATTTTTACAACAACAAAATATACTTGAAGCAACAAATTTTGGAATGGCTTCTCAATTCCCCTTGGATCCTATGCACCTTGTCGACTTAGGTGTGGCTAAAAAACTGTTACATTTGTTACTCAAAAAAAGGAAATATTACCCAAATGAATGAAAAATTTAATTTCGTTTCTCATTGGGTACCATCTGAGTTCGGAAGGGTGCGTAGAAATTTAGATGATATCGGGAATTGGAAGTCCACAGAGTATAGGCAATTTTTGTTGTATTCGGGAATATTCGTATTAAAAAATAGCATTGATGACGATTTATTTTATCATTTTATTTTATTGCATGCCAGTATACGCATTCTCTCTTGTGAAAGGTCCTACAAAACAGAAACCAATGTAGTAAAAGGATTATTACAAGATTTTGTTAGTTCGTTTGGAAATATATATGGTGATCATTTGATAAGTTTTAATATTCATGGCCTTCTTCATTTACCTGATTGTGCTAAAGAATTCGGACCATTAGATTCTTTCTCCGCCTATAAATTTGAAAATTTTATGCAACGTATGAAAAAAATTATAAAAAGTCCCACTAATATATTACAGCAACTATTTTTAAGACTCGAGGAAAGAAAAAGTTTAGAACAAAAGCAATTAAAAATTGGACAATTTTCGATTAATCCTAAGAAAGAGAAAGACTCGTTTTGTTTTAGCGAAATCACAGG